TAGTGCGACAAATACAGAGTTTCGAGCAGCAGTGATCCAGGCAGTGACCTCTCCCTTCTGTGTCGGACAAAATTCGAACCCACAACCAGCACTGACAGTTCAGATGCGAGTACAGGCTGCAGAGGTTCTTCCAGGACCAGCACCAACGGTTCAGATCCGAGCACAGGCTGTAGAGCTTCTGTCACAAGGAGCTTCTCATCACAAGACAATGGTAGCAAATCGCTCACAACCATCACCTCAAGGGGAGCTGCTGGAACTAAAGGTGATCTCTTAAACAAGGAAATTTGTGCGCCAAAGGTTGGAAAGGTTGACTCGAACCAGGACTTACAGATAGATGAGGAATCAAAGACTTCAGCCACTGTGCCACATGTACAGCGTACTAACCTTCTGTCTCACAGGTGGGGACATCTCAAACACCAGACTTTGTTTATCAGGGTTGAGTTATCAGTCTTAAGTTACAGTTTTGTAATGTTGTATTATGAGAAAATTGCCAGACGTTTCAATTTATGATGAGGCTAAGTAAAGTTGCATAAAATTTATACTGCTTTGAAAATGCTTGTCTCTGCTTCATTTACACAAAAATGTTACAGTGCTCTGTTTCCTAGACTATGAAATGTACAGAGAAAATTTGATATCACCACAACTGCAATGTCACATATTCAGTCTTTTAGACAGGTCTTTGGACAGGTTTTGGACAGGTCTTAATGGAATTAATAGATGTCCTATTTTGCAACAGAATTTATTGAAGTTTGGACATTAACTTATGGTGTTTGTATGTACAATTATAGAGTATTGTGAATTAAAATGTTCTCACTTTTGTCAATTCTAAGCATAGTCCAAAGACATTTGATACTTTTGGCACTCGTTTGTTCTTATGTACATGTACATTTGTAAGTAGAACTGTTTGGTATAAAACCTTGTTCAGCTATTATCAGTGGATCTATTTCCTGAGGAAGGGAATCTCTGTTCACTTTTCTAATCTTTTGAATGTAATCAGCATGTTTGGTAATATTCCAACCTTAACCCTAACGCCCTAGGCTCTTAATTGCACTTGGGAGCATACTGAACCCAACAAACATCAATAGGTACATGTACTTGTCTATGTGCTTGTACATGCAGGTCACTGTACCAAACCTGATAAACTCCAACAAGGTGACTCTTTGGAGTTTGAGTGATATGGTATGGATGGGTCTATGCAGTGTAGGATGACTTGCACTGAACAATACCAAACCTGACAAAATCAAGCCTAGTCCAACACTTGGTACAGCAAGCCAGGCACTGCACACAATGATCCCTGTGTGTTCCAACTCACACAAAATCCGACACCATCACCAGGGCCTTTGATACCAAGTCCAACAAAATTCAACAAGAAGTTGATCGGATATGGTACAAAACCTAGCAAAACCTGCTGTTGGAGTTTGATGGATACTGAGCCGTTCAAGGTTAAGGCTGCCTTTGGGATGAACAGGTAGATAAATGCACGCAAGCCTTTGGGTAGGCATGTGTAAACCAAACCACATTTCATGGTCAAAGTATTTTCTTGAGGCCAAATGATGTGGTATGATTTGCGTGGAATGCCATGGTGAAATGCTTTATACTTGGGTAGTTGTATGTCAGGGAATGGCCAGGTGTTTGTAAACTGTGTACAGTGTCACTCTGTCAAAATGCTTTGATGTCTTCTACATTTGAATTGTTGATGTCCAGAGAAAATGTGATTGGGTCACTCTCTAGCATATCACCACATTTTAATCGGCTTTAAGAGGTATTTTGCAATTTTAGGGCTAGTTGTGCTTTGGCAGAAAATGGAATGGGATGAAAAGAACTCCTCTGTTGCAATCATATTAGTTCTTGGGGAGTGTCCTATAGTGTGTGTACATAGAGACTATTCAAAGATTACAAATTAAAATTTTCTGCAGTGTTTTCTGGATTTTAGTCATAATGTGCATGAACAAACTTTTGGTAGGTTCATTTGTTTCAATACTGTAGTAAAATTGCTTAGCAGAAAACTCAGCCATTTTTGATTGGCACGCTGCTTTATAAAAACATAGGGAAGTCATGTTTGTCTTGTTTGTTGAAAGGTACCAGCTACTTTTGTAATATTGCAGTTTGCCTTTTGGAATGAATAAATGCATACACATCTCTTGGCCTTGGTGACTAAATCCACATCGTACAGTTTGGAAGGTATTTTCTTCTAGCCAAGTTACCAGTACCTGTAGGCAAGGCGGGTTGCTGGGAATTGCAAGCTGGAAATGCTTTACTTTGAGAATTTCATTTTTCTTAAGAGTTTCTGGTTTTGTGCAGAAGCACACCTTATGATGCCAGGGGCTTCAAATGCCATAAGCCTCCTTTCTCCACCTCCCCTCAGTCCATCTGTCTGACCTCCAGCCTTCACCCAATGATATCTGCACTTTGGTGCAGGTCAGGCTGGTTCCTTGCGTAAAGTCTATGGTTGTTTTACCAAAGTATACAATTTTGATATCATTGCAGTGAGACTTCTTTCAGGGTGGTCGTCGGTTTATCCCGGAGGCTTTTTTCTGATCGGAAGGAGGAAATGCAATTATCAGTATGTCATTGTAATCATATCTCCACCTTCATTTTCATTCCTAAGGGGAAAATAGGAAGCTTGGTGGAAATTGAAACGATAGAAAGGTGAAAGTGAGACCTGCATCCATCTGGGATGTTTTAGGTACACATTCTACAATTTACAGCACACTGTGACATTTCCTGTAGGGCTGATGAAGAAATAATCAATCAGACTTACTGGGTAAGATGCTTTCCTTTCTGAGGACTATTTCTGGTAACATCGGATATGCTTTCCTATCTACATAACCTGCAATGATCTCCATGTGTGAACACGAAAGGGAGGCATGTTGAGTTCATGTAGTCACACAGGAGCAGTTTGATGTTGGTCCAACTCGCCACACGCACGCCCAAGTTGGTGGGTGTCTGCTGTGAAATTCCCACAAGTTGCTTCCATATGTGCAAAGTTTCCTATGTTTCGCTGGATTATTTGTCAATAAACTGTGTGATTTTCCTCATCCAGCATTTTTTATGTAGGCGTTCTAGTGGGTGCAGAGTTCAAGAGTCCAATGTGAGTGGAGAGACTTTCTGTGAATCTGCCATTTGCTATAGTTTACTGTAAATTCCTACATTAAAATTCTGTACCAGTGCTCAGAAATACTTATTTCGTTCCCTTGCTAACCAGCTACACATACCTTGTCAGTTGCATTGGATGACTGCTGAAAATTTCTACCACTTGGAGTATTAATACCTGAATCTAGGGTGATGAGTCCATTGGCGAGATATTATGGATTGGCTTGGGTATATATAATTACATGCTGGACAACAAACAGCTAAGAATTAGTCAAGAGCAATTAACACTGCTTGACATTTGAACTAGTAACCTGTTTGCTAAGCAAGTATTTCGTGTGCTTAGCAGAGTTGCATTCCTAGCACATCTATAAAATGAGCCCGGGGACACCTGATGGAATGGAAAGTGGCACATACTTTACATTAAATATTTAGTCTTTTACAGCAGTTTGTATTTTTAAGAATTACTCTTGAGTCCTTGTGCATGAAGAGGTGCAAAGATCTGCAAACCAAACAAATTGAGGTTGGACTCTTATTGCATGTACAGGGATGTGTGTCTCATGGCATGGTCTTTTTTCATTAAAAATGTTTTAAAGGTCATTTGTATGAGGAGAGTATTTGATAAAAATCATGTTGGCTTTTCTTGCATGTCCATAAATATAACTTGGCTGACTGATTTTGTGTGTGTTGTGTATCATACCTACCACACTTTTCTGGATGTCCTCCTCGGTGCTGAGATAGGTCTAGGTACTCTATCTGCCATGGGGATAACAAATATGCTTTACAGTTAGATAATTACAGCTCAAGGAGACTCCGAAGTACCTCAAAAATGTATCGTGAGTCACCATGGAATTGCCCACGTGGCCATGTTGGATTATGCTTTCCGAATCCATTTCATTAATTAAACAGTCTGAAGTGTCAAGGAGCCTGACTGTTTTTTTCCTGTGTTACATTTAGTTTCACTTTGAAAAAAAAGTTCATTTGGGCTGTTAAAAGGTGACTTGAGTTCCGTTTATAATTTGATCCTTCCCATCAGAGCACAAAGGTGGTAATCTATACATGTATTTTGGCCCTGTTGCATCATATTCAAATCCACATGTGTTTTAGCATATTGTTGACAGAGATTGAGGCACATTTGATTTGACTCAAGATGGCTGATGTGTAAATAAGGCCAATAGTAAAAACTTAAGGAATTGTGTGAAATATTATAAAGTCAGTATCTTGCTAACAATGTCCTTTAACCGTGTGCATTGCTTGAGGTAGAATATACCAGTACGTGTATTGGCTGAGTTTACAAGTTGTTCATATTTTGGACCATTAAAAGAATAGTCAACAAACGAAAAAATAGTTACAATATTGTTTTCCACTCCATGTTTGTCAGTTTGTGCCTGGTTGTCCCCTGCTGTGTTATATTTAACACAAGTGGGATTATGTGTCATGTCCAGGTATACATGTAGGTGCTACAAATGGAGCAGTGTGGGCACTCCAGTTGCCAATGTTTCAGTGACATATCCAGGACGAAGTTGGGTCAAGGTGGCAACATTTTTCTTTTCTAAAAAAGACTGTCCTTTTTTTCGCATGTAGAGAACTCCTATCCCCCCAAGGTGGTAAAACTGTTTTAAGATAATGCTGACACTTTCAATATCTGGGAAAAAAAGAGGGAGCAAGGGGGGGGGACATCTTGCTCACCATTCATATCCTTCACCGTGTTGCCTGCCATGCCCACATACATCAGATTGCATAAAGATTCTTGACGCACTCGTCCTCAGCTGAATGAAGGACGTGTAATGCCGGTATGCCCTCAGTGTTCTGGTATGGAGTACCTTTTGAAAATGTTGTCAATGATCAAGAATCTTTAGTTTACCAAAAAACACGACAAGGGAATCTTTTGTCTTCTCTGGTACATGTAGGTCGGGAACAAAGCACTGGCGAGCCATGGTGGAGATCTACCACAGCGTGTACAAGGTCCGCCGGAAGTTGGTGGCAGCGCGCATCATGCAGGGTCAGAGCTCAAGCGGGGCGCCAGGAACCAGTGCTTCATTGGGTCCATCCACGTCTGAGGTCAGAGTTCAGAAAGAGGCCAGGGGTCAAGATGAGGAGAGGGGGCGCCGCTGTAAAAAAGTGTTCCCCCGCGTGGCTGTAGAAGGTGAGATTCCATCGACAGAAGAAGTTAATTGCAGCAATATTTCATACATAGAGCTCGCTAATACAAACATCAATCACTAGTTTGTATAGATGGCCACAGTTTGCAAAGTTCCTTTGCCTCCAAATGCTCAGTTAGCTTCACTGGTGTTAAGTTTGAAACATTTTCATTTGGTATTTAGTAGTAGTATTTTAATATTTAATATTTGAATATTTGCAAGACGTCTTTTCTGCATGTTGTATTCTGTTGGTTTTTGTACTCACAGCCAGCCCTAGGTTTGCTGACCACTAGTCAGTAAATACTGGGCTAGTGGTGCAGCGGAAGAAAGGTCTGTACATGTAATTGCCTGCTACAGTGCAAACAGTTCCCGTGGACTCCAAGCAGAAAACATTGCTCCAGGGTTAATCTTCATCTGAATGCGCATAACTTTGTATTGTCTTGTGCATTGATGCTCAGCCGGCGACAGCAGATGGCATTCAAGCTTCATGCCTCTCTCTGTGTGACTGTTAACCCGGTTATTTGGAATGAAGGCTAATTGATATTAGGATAAAGCTAATGTATGTACATGTGTGTTTGTCGCTTTAGTTTCTTAGTACTGATTTTAATTATGGTATATGTAGGTTTTATTTATTTATATTTTGATGTACAGCGCTTGGGAGCAGCTTAACGGATTGGGCACTTTGTAAATGTCAATTATTATCGATATTATTATTATTATTATTCTACTGTTGGTTGCTGTGTGACATGTAACAGAGACTGTGACAAAATTTAACCTAAATGTCAAAGACATTAACATATTTGAAGGGGAGCAGTTTCTTAACTGAAGGGTCCATTCTGATCCCTGCTCAATTTAAACAAAAAATATTACCCCTCGCACAGAGCCCTCAGATGTGGATCAATCCGAGAGCGAGGGGGACAGTGAAAGCGTCACTACCCCGCCCCCAGAGAAGAAGACTAAGGAGCGCGAGCAGTACAGTTTCTCGGAGACCTGCAAGTCCATGATCGAGCGCTGCGTGTTCCTGCTGCTGGCAGTCAGCCCGGCCATCCAACCCGACCAGGAAGATGACAAGAATGCCCTCCCTGGCACAGAGAAAAAGGACGGCAATCCCGAAACCGCCCCAGGTATGTCTCTTATTCTATTTGTCAGTTGTAACCCTCCTCAATCCTTCAAACCATTCAGGTACTTTTTGGAAAGGTAGATCACAACCACTGTTAATACTCAACATGGGACTTGATGCCCATGGACAGTTTAAGTAAAAGAAACAAGCGCCATTAAATAGTAGAAGATTTGGGAAGCCGCAAGCAGAAAATGCCAAATGAATTGAGGCTGAATTCTTTACTACTGTAGTGATAGAGATCTGTTTCTGTCTGTTTAGGTTTATTGAGAACTTCTCTGTGCATTGGTTGCTTCTTGCCTGTGCTTTGTCAAGACTAATGTACAAAGAGTCATTTTTATCAGCACTTTGTAATTTTTTTTAACTGTCTCGGACAGATACATCGTTATTAATATCAACATTGACATGAAGATATTGTGTGAAGTGGCAGAGACCGTGAAGTCTCAAAGGTATATACATGTACCAGTACATGTAACCTTTGGCAAAATTGGGCGATGGATTTCTCAGAAATAATTCGACAAGGATCATTTCAAAAGAAGCTGTTTCGGCATTGGTATCAAAGAAGCAATCAGACACTGGTCAATCAATATGAATGCCAAAACGTGCTCTTGAGTTTCTGACTTCAGACTTCTCATCTTTTTGTTTTCAATTTCAGCCGCGTCCATGAGTCATTCCTTGAGTGAACCAGACCTAGCACAGACAGACGATGTGCAAGTACCACCTTCCAGTAACAGGGTGAGGACATCGTGGGATGGTCAGGTTGGATGTCCTTTTCCTTTTTATCTCTCGTTTAAAAGCCCCAAAAGCAATATGCATCAATCTGCACATACTTGATATCGTCCTTTCCGTTCTTCAATGAATTGTGACTAAACTGACTCTCTGTTTTCTCAGGTCCATGAAAAATTCAAATTAAAGAAAGTATAATTTATGGTACAGTGCACCTTAGTAGCTTCTTTGACTTCCAGTCTCTGGAGAAATGCAGAATGTTTGGAAATCAATCATTTGGTTATAAAAAAATGGACTGATGCAAGACTTTAATACTGTGCCCACATTAAATAAGCCAAATTGTCCAGGGCTACGTGTATGGTTGAAGCCCACCATTAGTTAGAATCTGTACTCGAGGGAACTTGTCAGAAGTGACGATACTCGTCAATGCCACGTGACTGGGGACTAGGATTGTTGTCTAGTCCATCCCAACTCCCTCACATGAGGTCAGATATCACGAACCTGGTCAACAACAGTCGTGACTCGGTGCAACTTGAGATTTCAAAGCGTCATAGGAACACTGAGATTTATTTTGTGTGATTGTTTTTTAGGAGTCCGTGCGAGGTTTGAAATCCTCCCGTAGTGAGCCATTATCAGAACTCCAAGCGGACACCAACCTCGACTCTCTAGAAGTGGTGCGAGCCACCTGGAGACGTCTGCACTGGAGACAGGATCAGAACGGGTCAGTTCTGTCCATCCCTTCCAGTGACCAGCAGGCACAAGGATTTCTAGGTTAGTCCTTATTGTTCAATGCTGGTAGCATGTTGCAATCTTGAGCACGTCACTTTACGCCTGTGTTCACCCTGTGGGTGGGACAGTGATGGTTGTCTCTGCCTGGCATGGCAGCATTGAGCTGTGTACATCCCAGGGAGCTGAGATGATTTCAGGAGTGCGAACCTGAGGAGCAGGCATAAGGATTATGTGTCAGGGTCTTTGGATGACAAATAGTCAGATACTCTGTGGGTTGTAATTGCTCTGATGGCATTATCATTACTAGAGATGAATCCAGTGATATTTCACTGGATATTCCAGTTCGCCCTCTTCAGAGAGGCAAAAAGCATGGTTAAGTTTTTTTCTATAGGGAGTGACTGTCAAGAAACAGTGACTTTGCACAATGGTTTTTATAATGCTTACCGCCAGTGGCATGGGCTACTTTGCATGACCGGTGATAGCGTCACCATTGTCATTGGCTTTGTCCGTATACCACTGCAAGTGTTTGCCCTTGTCTGTACTACTTCTAGGCTCCGTCAAGCACATCTGCAGTGACATCATAGGCTTTGCCTGCGGCGAGATGCTGACCGACGCTCACCTGCCGTCGTCGGAGGAGGAGCAATATTTGTACTGCACTGAGCCAGCCACCATTGTCCTGGCCATGGAGAGCCAGCAGTGCAGGGCCGAGGCATGAAACAAGTTTCAACATTTTTCTGTTTCTTGTGACATTGGGAAAAGTTTTGTTGTGCAGTTACAACTATGCTCTTCTTTTTTTGTTGCAATTTAAAATTCTGTGCATCAAGGTTTTGAAAAGCAGGAAAGCCTTTAATTCTGTTCAAAAGAGACACACAGACATCAGCCATTGTTTGTTTATTTTTGGTTTAGTTTTTGTTTTTGCTTTTTTTGTTTCTTTTTTTTTAGTACTGGGCACCGATACTATCCATTGCTATCCTCAGGCCCTCTGTTGAGTTCTAAACAGATTATATTATCGTCTATTTTCCCTCATTAAAATGTCACATTCCATCTCATGTCACCAAAGCAATTTCTCTCTTTCTTCAATTTGCATACAACAGACACGGCTGGATGCGCTGAATCAAATTCTGTCTCTCCTGAATGGCCATGAGGGGGACGAGACCAAGAAGCCAGCCTCGTCGGACATCTTTGGCCGGGCGGTGGCACCCTTCAGCTCCGTGTCCCTGCTGGCGTCCGTCCACCTGCAGTTCCTGATGGGCACATTTGGGCTGGGCTGCCTGGAGCCCAGCTTGAGCGGGGAGGCCGGCGCACCCACACAGCTGCATCATTATAGGGTATACAGTTTGCTAAAATTGTTTTTGCCCAGTCCGGATTTCCTGGCTATGGCTTAAGGTTACACAGGCATGTATGGGAAACGCACAGCCTTAGCCACTTAAATTGGACACTACGTACCTATTTGCTCTTCTTTCTGTCTGTACAACTTCCATGTGACCTCTCATCCAACCATTCTAATATGTCAAACCTTTCATACAACTGACCAGTTGGCTAACCTGTCAAACAGTTGAATCGGTGTAGTTAGCATAGCCCTCCCTATACACAGAAGCAGTTTTTAAAGGAGCATTCATTAGTTTTCTTGCTTGTTTATTAGACATGCCTGGACCACAGTTCACCATCTTCAGAACCAAATTTGATCAAAATGCTCACCTCAGAGTTATTTCTGGAAAAGTTTAACAACAGACATAAATCAGCGCAACATATTATCAGTTCACCTCGCCATTGTCTAACCTGCAAAGTCTAAGCAGAATATCTGGAAATTATTATTATATTGCTTCTAAGTATTGTAGAATATTTGGTTCATGCAAGGAACTCCTATTTAATCATTTTATTTTATTGCAGGATGGCATCAGAGCAGCTAGCAAGACCACTCAGCTTGAGATCCAAACAGTAGCCCATCAGATCTATGACCATCTGGTCACCACACTAGCAAGCAATGTGGAAGAACCCCAGAGCTGCAAAGGTGGGTACCGGCGACATCTCACCCAGTTCTGTGTCCAGGGGAAGGCTGAAGAAATCGTAGTGTGTAGATTCCTTGGATAACCACACCCTTAACCCCAAACCTACAACTGAACAACATTGCTGCCAACATCATAGGAAGCTTTTACATTGTCTCTTCAGGCTTCAAAAGAGGTCTTCTCGAAGAGAGGTCAAATTCCAAAGTCTTCATAAATACCTAGCTGGCCTCTTGCTCTGTTCTACGATACATAATATTCAGACTGATTTAAATTTCATGTACTAGCCTATATTAACCACTTGCTGCCGGGTGAAATTTGAAGTTGCATGACGTAAAACCGGGAGTTTTTTAAGATCTTCCATTTTCAAATTCTTCAAAAAATCATAGCTTTATTTACTGGACGTTTACACCCACACAAATAACTGTCTGGTGACTACTCTAACCTGACAGACAACATCTATTGACGCCCAAGTATTTGAGCCAGGCCTGTTGCCTTGTAAAAAGAGCCCAGATTGTGCAGTGTTATTTAACTTTCTTTTGTTCCCGAAACCAGCGCAGTGTGCTACTGGCGTCTTTTCAATAGGGGCCAGATTAGCTTGCAGCGGTATTGTATCGCTCATTGCTGGAGCGCTTTTGTCCCCGGTGGTAATCCGTTTGTGCTGAGTGCCTCAAACAGTGGAATAATCTCTCAAAATGAGGAGTGATTTCCTCCGCCATTGACAACTGAAAAAAATGTTGGCAATTCCCAGCAGCTCGGTCTTTTGTCCCGAGTATGGTCTTTTGATACAAGGCCCAGCTCTTTTGTCGGGTTTCAGGCTCCCTGGTTTCATGTATAAAGCCTATGTGCTCAAAACCGGGCTCCCTGGTGGCATGCCGTGTCTCAGTCAACTTGGATAAAAAAGCCGGCAAGAGGTGCACCATAAATGACCGTAGTAACCGTGTAATCAAGCCTGATTGGTAATCTTTTTGATCATATCAAGAGTTACCATAAGACGTTGAGCTGTGTCTCCTCATAAGATGTGGTACAGGGAGTATATCAGCCTGGTTTTGGCGCCCAAAACTGGTGAACTTGATTAGATCATCCATTATTGAGGAGGTTCAGTGTTCATTAATGTTGTTAACCGTGGGTTTATTGCAACTCACCACATGCCAAAGCACTATACCTATTCTGTTTTAGTTGGGTTTGTGAGTGTGACATCTTCACAATTTAAAGTACATCCACCTACAGTGTGGAAATGAAATTGTTGCAACCATAAGTAGTGCATAGTTGGCGTATCAGGCAATGGGCGCTCTTGATTAGTAGAATATGGGCACCAGTGACTCACTCAGTGACACACCAGTATCATTTCTGTCCCCCTCATTGTCCCCTCTGTCCGCAGGTGCCTGGCATAGGCTGCTGCTGGTCACCATCTTCGCCTTGAGCGTCAAGTACCAGCCGCCAGACGTCCTGCTGGCCGTCTCTAGTGGTATCCTTCCCCTGCTGGCCAGGCTGTGTGGGGAGGGAGGCCAGGCGGTGCTGGCCAGGCCAGTGCAGCCCCTGCTTAGTGGTGGTGTGCCGTCGGTGCACTGCGTGCTGCAGGTGGCTAGCATGAGGCTACTGCAGATACTGGCCATAACCACCAGGTATAGACCCCTCTCATATTGGCTACTGTTTGTATGGGCAGTCAGAGTTTGCAGAAATATCACCTTTGGTTGGTGTTAAGTTTCACCTCAGTGTACTTTGCCGATTTTTGTTAAGAGGGTCCTATTTTCATTTAGTACCCGTGTGTAGTAACAAGCAAGTTTATGTTTTGATGTTGGTGTTTTGATAGCTGCATGAGATTTTTCAACATTTAGTGAAATATTCCTTTGCTTTTCAACCAACAGCCAGCCATAGTTTACCCACCTCTTGTGGGCAAAAATATGACTGGACATAGAAAGAATGGACTCTTTAGTCTTGCAGGGAATTTTTTCGTTAAGAGTAACTTGCATTTCGATCCAGTTTTGATTCATTTTGATTTGTTTTGTTTATTTTGCTTGTAACTTTCCTCACTTGGGGCTTAATGACCCATTTTGTTGAAACACAGACAAAGTTCTGTTCGTTTACTGCCGTGACAAATCTTTGAATATTCTGGAAGAATGCTTTAAGGGCACGGGCAGTTTAGACTTAAAGACGTTCTAATATTCTCCTAATTTAACATAACCATTTTAAAAATCTTTTTTAACTAACCCTATATGAGAATATTTCCATTCTTTATTCTAATGCTGGTAGCACCCATGCTGACCAGCTTAGCAAGTCGGTCATCCAAGCCCTGGTCAGTCTCCTGCACGAACAGCTGTGCGGTCTGTTCTCAATGGCCTGTGGAGAGACGGAATGGAAGACACTAACCAGCTCAGCCCCCAGAGACAAGACCGAGGGGAAAGGAACAGAGGGCAAGGAGAAAAAGACGAGCACTTCAGGTCCCCAGCCAGGTAGAAACTAGGCAGAATCTCTCGGAAGTGTTTGTCTGTATGTGCTTATTGAGAATATGGTTAAAACCCTGTGAGCAACCATGCCCACAAAATTACATCGATTTTCCACATGGATAAAAAATATCTAGGTCATTTCCCCGTCATGTCTGTCGCTCAGTGCCACGATGAACCTGTGCGACTGTTTTGTGGTTGCTAATACACCCATGAGGTCCCCTCTCTGTCTACAATTCATTTGGTGCTGTGAAAGTACAGTAATACCAGTCACAACCCAACCTGCCGTGACCTGTCGGCACCTGTCAACAAAGAGGTCCACTTACTGCGAGAGGTCATATGGGGAGCCTGGGAATACTGGTCTTTCAACAGGCCGTACTCCACAGCGGTTATGGCTAGGTTAAAGGGACTTGGCAGTCTTGAAGCACATTAGTAGCTTGAGGATTACAAAGATTGTCAGCTTAATTCAACAAAAAACAAAAAACTTATTTAAAAATACGATGACTGCTGTGTGTTTTTTATCTCCGTAATACTGAGATGTGTTGTGAAGGTTTTCCATAAAGCAAGTTGTCGAGCAAGAAGGAATGCCACCTGAGTGTCACTGAATGGGATCAAAGTTGAAAAGTTTTCCAAGGGAGATTTTGTTGTCGATTTCTTTAAGAACAGACTGCCAGTTATAAGAAGGAATATTCACTCTTCACACTGAATCAGAAGAAAGTTTATTATTTCATAAGCAAAAGTTTGTTGTTGCAGAAGCCTATTCTATCCTCTTGTCTATGTAAAGGCAAACCACGTAAGGGGAAACACTCTCGCCACCTGGTGCAAACGGCTCTTGGAGACTTCCTGGTGTTCTTGCGTCGTGTTGCTCTCAGCAGACCCTTGTGTGGGAGCATGGCCTCACCTAATTGGACGTCGGTGCTGCTAGCCATAGCTGGACACCAGCCAAGCACAGGTACCAGTAATCGCCCAAATAGGTTTAGACGACATGCACATTTTCTGAAATTTTAAAGATATATTGGTGTGTTTGTTTTCTTTGTTAAATTTTTTTTAATGTAGGCACAGTTAATATAAATGAATTCTTTGGGTTGTTTTCATAGGTCTACCCAGGATTGAAAACATCCGCACCAGATTACTGTCATTGCATCTGTTGGAAGCCGTCCTTCCTGCATGCCCCATGGACACACAGGAGGGGCACCAGTACCAGGTCAGGGCACCAGTCATTGTCAATCGCTCACTCTACTGTGCGTCTTGCATTGCAAGTCCTATTTCACTCAATTACTGGTTCTATTTGGGAAAATTTTTTTGAGTGTTAATAGCATTCTGAATTCTTACTATTATAAAAAAAAAGTACTTCTTTAAAAATGTCATTATTCTGATGGGATAAATAGATTTTCACAGTACGATCATGAGCTCTGACTAATGCTTGTACTGTGAAAATGGATTCCATATCCATAAACCAAAAGATGCCTGTAGAAATACAGAAAAGAATGTTGTCTTTTTAGTTCAAGTGTGGGGAAATAGGATTTTGCTAAATCAGGTTGAAAGAATTTTAAACTAAGTCTGCTTATCTTAGCAGTAGTTGAAGCTGGGTCATAGTAAAACATATAGGGTGAGAACCACCATGCAGCTTACATGTATATGTATAACTGTTTGACCCCAGAGTGCCAAGTCACCTATCGTGCCAATACCTTTGTTTGTTGGTTTTTGGGGAAAAAAATCGTTGCTTGTGTTGAATAGTGGGTTACTTTTTTTTTTGTCTTCCAACATTCTCAGGTAGTGCAGCAACTTTTTGACAACCTGTCAGAGTGCATGTGGCGTGCTCCCCAGGCCCTTGCCCGCCACCAGTCTCACCAGAAGCCCCCAGACTCCACAGCCCCTGACTCGTCAGTCCCCAGCAGCGTGGCCCCAAGCCCCCAGGCCAAGCGACCCACGTCCTCAGTCTCCGAGAGCGGGGACGATGGTGAGGAGGAAGACGATGATGACGACATCGCGCTGCAGGACACAGTGTTCGACGGGGAGAAGGTGGTGTGCTGCAGCGTGGAGGGGGGCCACACCCTTGTCCACGGATCTGGTGGGAGGGGCTACGGCCTTGGGGCGACAGGAATCACAGCCGGGTGCTACCAGTGGAAGGTGGGTTCATTTGCTGACTGCCTCTGCAGAGAACAGTTCTCTTTATGTGATTATGACAATAATAAAACACTTGGGAACCTACTAGCTATCGTGATTGCTCAGTAAGATGGGCTACTGTAAAGTAACTGCAAGGTTGTGGATTCCAAGCCCAGCTGAAGTGTTTTGGGGGTGGTCTGAATTCTTATCAGCAGTCGATGTTTGATATTTTGTTCCTTATCCTTTTTGTGGATTCGGAAAGTTTTTATTTTGAAATGAAACTTGAAGTACGAGAACCTTCTCTTGCTTTAACCAGCGTAGGGGAATCATTTCCAAAGCCAGCAGATGTCGCAAGGAAAAAGGATGCAAGTACAGTAGCAAAAGTAATTCTAACATAGAAACGGTTACAATCCTCTTTTAAAAGTGCTCGTCTGTTTCATCCCCTTCCCCACCACCAGTTTTACATCACCAAAGAGAACAAGGGCAACGAGGGCACCTGTGTGGGGGTGTCGCGGTACCCGGTACGGGACTTCAGCCACCGCACCACCTCAGACATGTGGCTGTACCGGGCCTACAGCGGCAACCTGTACCACAACGGAGAGCACTCATTGACCCTGCCAGGCTTCACCCAGGGGGACTGCATCACCTGTGTGCTGGACATGGAGGCCCGCACGCTGTCCTTTGGCAAGAACGGGGAGGTGAGGCGCCGGACCCGGCCCATGTGCCAATCTTGGCAGTACTTTGCAGAGGCTATTACAGGACTTTGCAGGACTTTTCCTGAGTTTTCTCAGAGCTTTGTCGGATTAAACGATAGAAATATATTGCAGTATTTTGTTGTCGTTGTAACCCTCTGGAATGTGGATTTATATTCCCCACTTTCATCCCTGATATATCCAGTGTTGTAGTACAAGTCCCTTAAGGACATTACAAGACCAACATGGGACCTCAATTCTGAATTCAAGTCACAAACTATCCAAATGAACTACAAAAGGGCTCTCTCTGTGACTGGTCTTGTGTCTGGGTTTGTGAAGAACCATCATAAGGAAGAGATGCAACTTAGTTTGACAAACTCTAAAAAAATAGTATATGTTTTTACTGTTCACCTCTGCTAATTTAAGTTTTGTTGAAAGCTCTCAAGCAACATTGCATAATGACCTGTAAGCTGAAATGATTACACTGTTCTGCTGCACAAGCTCAACTACTGAGTGCATGCAGATACAAACTGTTCCTTGTACCAGTTGGCTATATAGTTTAATTGACTGTTTCACAGTGGCCCAAACTTCTTGAAGTTAACGAGATTGAAGTAGAATTGTTGTTATTGAGATCGGTGTACATTGTTTTAATATTTTATTTTGCCCAGGAGCCAAGGTTGGCCTTTGATGATGTTGAAGCAACAGAATTGTACCCAGTGGTCATGTTCTACAGCAGTAACCCTGGGGAGAAGGTAGGCACAAATGTATTGTCAAGTGCTATTACCACACAAATTGGCTCTTTGTCCAGAGTGTATGCATACTTGAGAACTGGGCAATCAGACAGTCCTTACAGTGCATCACAACTTTTGCATAGTTACAGAAGCTGTGAGGGCATGGCATTACCTGTCCTTTCATGCATATAAACAGGAGGTCAGGTCTTCAGCTGTTAGTCAGTGAGACAGGTAGAAATGCAGGCTAGCCCATCAGGCAGTTCCATATGCCAATGTTTGTTTATCTGCCTTCCTTTTCCCCAAGGTGAAAATTGGTGAGATGCAGGTTCGAGGTGCGCCGCGAGACCTCCAGCCAGGCGAGCCCCTGTGCGCCCCAACCTCCTCTGTCCTGGCTGAGGCCCACGTGACCCTCCTGCGATCACTCCATCGGGAGCCTAGCTGGAGGGACACCATCAATAACAGCATCCAGGCCCGGCTAGCACAGATCCAGAGGTTGCACCAGTCCGCGCCAGGGCCCACAGCCCAGGAATCCGACCGCAGCACTTCTGCCGATCCCCGGCACAAAGCTGAGACGACAAGGTGTAAGTCGGCACCCAGGAAGTCAGAAAGCGATGATGTGAAACCCGACAGGAGGAATGCCAACGGAGATGGCAGGCTCTCAAAGAAAAGCCGGGGAAGCATGTCGGATTCAGAGCTGGTCAAGACAAAACTGGGTGAGGTAAAAACAAAATCGGACAAGTCAAAGGAGACAGAGAAAGCTCTGGATGTTGGGAAGAATGAACAGAAGGGAGATGACCCAGTGAAGGGCGAAACAAAAGCTGCAGATGCAAGTGACAAAAGAGAAGACAAATCATCCAAAATGAAAGATACTGACTCCAAGTTCGACAAAAACCATAAGAAGAAAGATGAAACTGAAGACAAAGCTGGGAAGAAGGAAGTTGCAGATGATAAAGAAAAAGGTTTGTATTTATTGTGAGAATGTGTTTACAATTAATATTAATTTGTAATCCTAAAAACATAATGCCTATAATACATGAAATGCTTTAGCTGCTACCTACTGAAGAGATCACAGTCATTGATAAGAGAAATTTCACTGAGATTTTCACTAATTTCTTGGGAAACAAAATACCACCTGAGCTGAAATTTCAACAGGGTAAATTGTTTAACCCTCTGCAGTAAAGATGTGATGCTGTTGTGGTTGGCGTTTGGAAAAGGAAAATTAAATTCAGATGACAAAGTTGTGTGGTACTTGGCAATCTCGTTTTCAGACACTGAGTCAACAGACTGGATGGAACTTTGTAACTCTGTCCTACCAGTCTTGGCGGTCATCGGAGGCATTGACAGGGGCCTGAGAATTGGTGGACGCTGTGTGCATAAACAGACCTGTAGAGAGGCCACCCTTCTGGGCATGCTCAAAGAGGGTGGTACCTCGGCCAAGGTGCAGTGGGAGGATGCAGATTCCACCATCAGGTATATGTGCGTGTGTATGCATTGACAGACACCTATATGTCTAGGGTTCTATTCCCACCTGTGTCCTTATCCTTTTGCTCATTGTTGAGCAGAGGCACAGGACATGGCCTGTTTGTCCTCGGACAGGGAATTTTAAAGTTTTCTTCATCCTATAAAATGGCTTGTGTTCCGACGCATCTTCTACTACCTTTGTAGGGTTGCTTAGGTTGCGCTTAGTGTTTTGCTCACTTGGAGACATTTTTGGCTACGATTAATTGGAACATTAAGACTGTAATGAGTAAAAAAAGTAATGAAAAAAAATTAAAATAATCAAAATGTTGAGAATGTTAATTTCAAGGCTTGTTTGCTTTATTTTCTGTCAAGCAGCGACTGTGCAATATCAAATCTGGAGCCCTTGGAGCCAGCGGGATTTGAGCCAGCACACCTCAAGGGTGTCAGTGCGACTGTGCTGTGCGACCTTGCCCTCCTCTCTGGAATCACCAACGAGAGCACCCAGAGAGATGTAGTAAAAGCAGACCAGCCTGCAAGACCTGCTGGCGAGGGGGCGACGGAAAATGAGAAAGAGAAACAAGATCAAAAGAGGAAGGAAGAAGATGTGGCCAAGACGGATGCGTTTGAGAGGTCTCTGGATGCAGATATTGCCAGAGCGATGAAAGAAGAGGAAGAGGAAGAGGTGACTGCAGAGCCCGAAGGCCCTGTAGAAGTCACAGAGCCTGTTTCGAGTGTCGAAAGCACTGACATTGACAGCCCCACCTCGCCGAAAGCCAGAAACCCTGCAGCGGCTACAAAATTGTCAACATTGCAGCTGCAACTGGAATCACCGGATTCTAAAGCCAGCCGAGGTGCCGCTGCATCAAGTGCCGAAGGCCAGGTTGTCCCTGCACCGATCACCAACGAGAGGGTGGTTGAGGAAGTCTCTAAAAGCATCTCTCAGGAACTGGACCCTGACTCGAGGATGTTGTCGGCAAGTGACCAGATGCCAGAGCCATCCCTCAGGGATGAGATGGAAGGAACATCTGCCGCCTCGAGCTGCAACGATTCACCAGCCCTCAGCCCCACGGATGCCAATTTGTCCGACACTAGCACCCTGTCCGTCCAGGCTGAGACCCCCAAGGTGGAGCAAGAATGTCCCATCCCGACCCCCGCTGCCACCATGAAGGAGACCCTGACTGCTCCTAAACCGGGCCTGAAGCTGGAAGACACCACCAAGCAGTCGGACACAGAGATGAAGAGCATTATGCTGGCCCACCTTCAGGTGGGCGCCCTGAAGACGCTCAGCGTGCTCATGGGCTGCTCAAAGTACATTGAGATGCTACTGGTCCCCAAGACCCTGACGGCCGAGAAGCCACAGAAGGACCAGCCACCCCTCCCGCCAGTCGGCGAGAAGCAGCAGCGCAAGGGCAGCGGGGGCAGCGACAAGGACCAGGGGGAGCTGGCCAGGGCCAAGGAGGAGATGGAGAGCCTGCGAACAGCCATGCGCACCATCATGAGGCAGCTGGTGAAGCGGGCTGTCATGCCCTCCCCCATCAGGCGCGTGGTGTGCATGGCCGAGCTTGAAAGAGCCCATGCCATGCTGATCAAGCTGGCAGCCCAGGCTCCATTTACAGACGGTAAAACCACCTCTTCTAAACTAGGTGGGTAACTGTGAGATCTCATAGACTTTTTCATATTGCGTATTATTCATGGGGTCATATTCATATCGCATCAATGCAAAATTCTTGTTTCTTAGGGCAAACAAGAAGACCATGTTCCTGTTGATAAATCATGGGCAACATTGTGTTTTCATTCATTCATTGCAATTCTATCTTGGAGATTAAATAGGATCATTGTTTCCACATTATGCTTTCCACAGAGATGTTAGCCAGCCAAGCCCGCCGGCTGGAGCGAGAGTCTGCTGCCGTGGCCACTTCCCAAGCTGACAGCCAGGATCGGCAGAGTTCCTCCTCCACCACTGTCTCGGCTCCACCCACCCCTTCTTGTTCCCTGCCGTCCCGTAGCCGCCTGAGGGGGGTGGGGATGAGGACACTATTCTCTCGTGGGTCGCAGAGGGCGACGACTGTCACCGCCATCTCACCCCCGGCGTCTCCGCCCCACTCCCCTGATGAAGACGCCCACAGTGAGGGTAAGATGCCAAGGGACAAAAGGTCAGATGTCAAAGGTCAGAGTATCGTAGAGGTCTTTAACTGTGGGAGAATGACCAAATTAAGGGGAAGATACGAAGGGTTACTAAGGGTTAAAGGTCAAATATCAATCAGAAAATCGTGAACGTCGTGAACTGAGGAAGGATGCTCACAAAGAGCATAAGGTATCCAAGATCAGAGGTTAGATATCAAAGGTCAGAATGTTTTTTTATCGAGGAAAGTGCATCATCTTTCTCTTTGGAAGAGAGGATTTTTGTCATGGATTCAGATGATCATCTCTTTAGGTTCGACTGTTTTGTATTTTTAAAATTTGTCTTGTGAACTGGTTTTCCGTTCCGTTGTCTGTTTGCAGCTTGGCAGTCCCATCCACCCCCGTCTCCACCTATAGCTGCTCCTCTCCTGGAAATGGGGTTCAGTATGCATCATGTACTAAAAGCAATGGCTGCCACAAGTAAGTCATCGGCTCCTTTATCATGATTATTGGGTTATCATCATTCCAACTTTAATGGTCTGCTTGATCTGTGCTATGCTGAACTCCCCAAATCGTAAAGGGAAACTGATCATGTCTACTTGCTTGACTTGTCGCAGACACGCGTGGGGACTTAGACACGCAGCGCATCACCATCCTAGCCACCTGGATGATAGAGCATCCTTGCCTGGAAGAGGAGGACGACTCCTCCCCCTTGCAGGTGCAGCCACAGCAACAACCCCAGGGTGGCGCTGCAGAGCAGACCAGTGGTAGGCAACAGCAGCAGCAACCATCAGGTGCACTCAGCAGGCCGTCTAGGCCCACCGATACTGAAAGCTCCACCAGCCGATACGAGGAATACGAAGAGTGAGTTGACCCTTGGAAGGTGGAAAAGAATACTGGTTACCCGTTGGTTTTTTTTTTTGCAAACTCTTGGGGGTTAGTTTGAGAGAGAGAGGAGAGGAAACAGTGATGCACTGTTGAAACCAAGTTTAGTGAGACTAGTTGTAATTATCACCTTTTGTTTCTGTTGAGCAGTTCCAGCTACCCAGACACGGAAGAGACCGCCAGACGGTTGAGAAGAACACCGTCCGTAGAGCGCCCCCCATCCCGCTTAGAGCGCTACCGGGCTGTCGCTGACCTGTCCTCACTCGCCAACGCCATGGCCCGTAATGTGGACAGAACAACGTGTAAGTCCAAACTCTCACATACAGTGTGTCTGAAGGGACTGGGGTTCACTTTTGCTGTATTCCTTTATGTGAAGTCAGTTGGCCATAGACAGTCATATTTCCAAATGCAGCATGTACATTTGCAGTTGGTGACATTAACTGTGGCAGACACAAGGGATTTACATCTATGCTGCTTATGCTTATCCCTGGAAATAACACACATTCCACTGAGCCATTAAAATACAGCTTCCTAGGTCTATGCATTATTCCGAGTCACAGCCATAACTTTTGGACACGACTTTTCCTCTGAAATAAGACAACTTGGCGCTTTGAACTGTTCTGCCTCAGACTACAGTAGATACACCTGCTACACGACTAATTTTCTGGTTATGGAGAAATGCTGTGTGACAAGTTAAGGTTACCAGCCAAATGGCCTTGTGATACATAGTGCTCCTAGTTGGTACCCAGCAAAAATTCTGCTTATATCGCACATTTGGCCCAGCTTTGTTTTCCATTCAGAAGTACTTACGACAAAAGATTTTTCATCTTTTGTCTCTGTGTCCGTCAGACCACTCTGAGGGTCTGTTCAGTGACTTGGACAGACAGGATCTCAGATACGAAGTCCCGTCTGAGGACATTGTCTTTGAAGATGACGATATGGATTTGGATGACGAGGAAGATGATACCCTGGTTACCGACAATGGTGGGGACCGGGAACTGTTGGGTCTATGGTACCCTGAGGTAGGACTTTTCTTTAAAAATAAAAAATGAAGTATAACTTAAGATTTCTAATTGGGAAGTTGTGCTTGCCATTCACAAAGCATCTCTTAGAGCTAGGATTCCATCACAGACCATGGACCCATTTGGAGGCCTTGAATGTTTGAGCCAAATAGAAAGTTTCCCAACTTTTTTGTATTACAAGATGTAATTTTTTTGTTGATTAACTGTGAGGTTGTAGTATTCTTTTCCATTCATTTTGTATCAAAGGTGCTCCATTGCATGCAAGATCATTTGAGTAATTTCTTAGCACAAGGTGCTCCATAGAGAAGGTCATGAAAAGGTCAAATAAAGCATGCTTTCCTTAACACCATGTTTGTGTACAGTCTTGCTGCTCAGTCGGATTAAATCTGCAAGTTACTCACTTGAAACATAACAGAAGTCACATACAAAGTGACAACTTCCACAATCGGAGACTGAAGCAGGAACTTGTAGACGTGCATCCCAAGCTGGAAATAAGAAAGTACATAAACAAGCACTTTCTTATGGGAGCCTGGAAGGATATGATGGATTCAAAACCTCTACCACAAGAAAGCATATATTTAAACAAAGCAAGGTGTCATCAGTACATTGTCCTATTGGCTTGGTATTCCTCATCAGCTGAGCCGCGAGTTGGAGGAGAGCGAGAGCCAGGTGACCTGCGACCTCTGCGGCATGACCACCCCACAGTTTAACCGCCACATGCGGCTGCAGCACCCCGGCTGCCGGCAGAGCTGTGGCCACATGGGTTACCGCAGCAATGGGGCCTATGTCGGGGGCTGGTTCGGCGGGGCCTGCGGCACCGGTAACCCGTACTACCTCATGTGCACTGACTGCAGGGAGAAGTACCAATCGGGCAACAGGGGTCTGGTAACCATGTCATCAGACTTTACTGTGACAACCGAGGGCACTGTTGATGGTAAGATTCTTTCCAAAGCTAGAAGGTTCTAATCAAATTTTGGGGAATTCTGTACAGTAACTAGCTCAACTAGTGGACTCCACTAACAGCTGGTACCATAATTAACAAGCTCTCGGACTTCAGAGTGTACTATGCTTATGAAGTGAAATGACCTTGAAGGCAATGCAATTAACATTTATATCTCCCACTTAATGCAAAACCCTGTCGTGCTAAAGTTGTTCACAGTAACGAACTGCTGTCCGTAGGTTGACGCTCCATCTGGCAAAACTTGTTTTCTTACAAACTCTGGTATGTAACTGAGTTTAAACTTTAACCCTAACCCCTTAGGGTGTATGTAAACTTGTATTGAAATTGGAGGATTTGGGACTGTTAGGGTTAAAAGATACAGCTGTGACAAGTGAACCATTTAAACCGATGTTTGCAACATTACCACTTGTCTTTCTTTCTCTCTCACCAGATGATCACGACTTTGTCATGGAAGATGACACCAATCAGATCTCGGGCCAGGAGACGTTTGAGCAGATCATGGGGCGTCTGGGCCTGACCGAGAGTCGCTCCATCCCTGAGCCGGTCCAGTTTCCGGAACCGGACCCCCTGGGGGCTAGAAGTGCGTCAGTCGGGGTCAGCAGGGGTCCCGGGGGAACCCTAAATCTCGGTGAGTGTAACATATACGTTAAATTTGTGTAAGATGCAAAAGTGTGGTAATTTGAACCTGTAAGCTCTTATCGAATTTGTGGTGTTTGAAAGGTCAGCCTGACATTATGTAACTTTGTGCTATGTTTGAACAATGAACTGATTCGGTCTTTCAAAAAGGTGGCGTCATTCAAAAACTAAGCACATGACCCCACACCAGTTTGAACATTTTCAGTGCATGTGAGTTGGAGTGCTACCATACTAAAAGGGCCAACCTTGATACTCATGTTGATGTTCTTGATTGACCTATGACACACTTCACAATGATCATGCACTGTTGAAATTCCAAACCGACTCATTGGCAATGGCACGGTTTGAGTGAGGGTTTGTAGATTGTGCCTATGCCATCTGCAAGTTGATCTGATTGGTTTGCAAAATCATGGTGTCACAATTGTTCTTAGATGGTACCAGCCAGCGGGACTCTTGCCTTGTGAATCGGCTGAGCCTTGGGGAGCAGGTCGCCCTACTGTCCACTGCCCATGACAGGGCCGTTGCCCTGAGGAAGACAACGGCAGCTGCTCAAGTACTCCTGGCTCGGTCTATGGTCATGAGAGCGCTCTCGCTGCTGTCTGTCAGGTATATCTGCTTCTGTTTGAGCTTTTCTTTGCTGGATTTGTTCCGACAAACTTGAATCTTGTGATGTTTTTTGAAAGTTTAGATGCTGATAACAGATGATGTTGATTTCAACCAAAAAATATAAGCACTAAAATATTATATGCAAAGTTGATCACATCCTATTAATTTCTTGATGCTGGCCTTTGATCCAGACCATCAGGAAGAAATGTGAAAGTTGGCTGCTGTACCGGTATCAAGATTTTTTACCAAAAGTAGCACAGGAAAGTAACCAAATCCATTAAACTCTTCATCGTGTTTGTCTGTATGTGTCATGTGCAGCGGTTCTGCCTGTAATCTCTCCGAGGGCCTGGAGCAGCTGGGCCTATCAGACATCAGGCTGGTTGTCCGGCTCATGTGCCTGGCAGCAGCAGGCCGGACAGACTTTGCGGCCGCCAACAGCCCCTCGTCGACAGCCGGTTATGGCAGCCAGGTCCCCCTGGATACAGTGTCCACGGGAACAGTGGGCATGTCCTCCAGTCTGGCCTACCTCAGCTCGGCCATCGGTTCTCTGGTGGCTTGTAATCCCAGTGCAGCCAAGATGCTTGTTCAGCTGTGCACCAAGGTTAGAATTAGTCCGGCTTTGTCATGATTTTAGGCATTCGCGGAATAATGATCTCTAACAGTTGCGAGTATGCAGCTTACTGTATATCTCATTCATGTGTGAAAAACTGCAATTTAGATCTCACAGTCACGACAAAAATCCCTCCTCTCAATCGATCTTGCAAAGCTGGTGAATGGTTGAAATAATGTAGAAAGAGGTCCATTTGGTTAGCAAGACGTTTGTGTCAAGAAAATCTCTTGGTGTTTTCCATAAGAATCCCTTCATTTTGAGGAATTTTGAGAGGAGTTGGTAGTGGCTGATAATTTGAGCAATTCATCCTTGGATTGTTAACTTAATATAGCTGGTCATGTTCAGGAGGTCTTGTGTGCCATTGGAGTTGCAAATCCTTCAGCATACCCTTAACTTGTGCAAGACACTTCAACAGAAAGCTCGAAAGTATTTCTGAGTTGCCAGTCTTGTAAGCCTCCCTCCCATTCAAGCCACCAACATTTTTGGAAGTTAACAGTGGTGAGATTGTAAGGATTGTCCGTATTTCAGGATTTTTCAACAGTCTGTGTTTCATTCTGGAAAATCCCTTGTGTACAGTTAGTTTTTCTACATATAAAAGTTGATACAAAACCGAGGGGTTATTCCATTTGATCCCACACTGCTATGGGTCCCTTAATTCCTCTGAGGATTATTCCGTGGATAATTCATATTACTTCAGTGTCACTCCTGAGTGAACTATTTTCCAAACCTTTGAAAGCTGAAAAGAAAAAAAACAATGGTCGAGGTGCAGTGCATTGGCTGTCACTGCCCTGCAAAGAGATGCCTGTACCTCCCAGGTGCCCCCCCCCACAGAAATCCACTTTCACCTCCCCCGGGTATGCCTTGGCTCCCAACTAAAAATCTACCTCTGGAACTCTCCACGTCAGAGACCTTCTCTCCCACTTCATCTCATCAACCCCTAGGACCTCCTCTCAGCTGCCTGTGGTCTCAACGTGGCTGCCATCGACACCCGACGGGGAACCTCCACGGCCAGGGAGGATCCTGCCTCTTCCGATCAGCGAGCCCTCTCCTCTCCTAGCTTTGCCGTCACCCAGGCCCTGGTCTGCTTGCTGGCCGAGGGCCCCAAGCAGCAGGCCAGCCAGGCTCAACAGTTAGAGGGATCCACAGGTTGGTACATGGAGAAGGAATGGTAGAAATTTCTAGATTTTTATCTGGCATATTTCATTATTTTTTTTTAATCACTTCTTTTCAAATTTGACTTCACTTTTTCTGGAATTTGAGTGTTTCTTTGTATTGAAGAGATTGAAGTTCCCTGTAAAATGTTCTCACAAAGTTGACAGTTTTACACTTGTGTACACTTATTTCAAATGATGCTGTGACCTAGGAATGGTATGGTTTTGATTGATTTTTTGGATCCAACTTTAAGCTAGAATCATGCTGTTTGCCTGGATTCACTTTGGTGAAATATGTTATTGTATTATATGAGGATCTTGCATCCTTTCTTGTCAAAAAAAAATCACATTTCTTTTTCGAGATTTTTCAATGTTGAGAATTTTAACTTCCCAGTAAAACTGTTTCTCTTTGAGGACTTCAGTTTTTTCGTCTAAATCCTCACTAGTCAAGTTGCAAGCTTTTCAAATCAACTTTGACAACAGCACTCCTTAGTCCTTATTCATCCTTTTACTTGTGACTAAAAATATGATGGGACTTTCTTGAAGGACTTGTGACTGGTCTTGTGATAGAGTTCTTCAAACTTGATTCCATTTAGCATTTATTATCTGACTTCTTATCAGACTACGAACTGATTTCTCTCAGTGTGCGCTCTGTTTATTGCAGAGACCAACCAGGCCACAAAGGAACCACCCAGTGACCCCATGACCCCAGCAGCTGCCTCCACCCTAGCAGCCCGGGCAGCCCCGCCCCTCCAGCTAGCCAACGCCCTGGCGGCCTGCTGCCTGTCGGGCCGGCTTGCCAGTCAGCACCGGGAGTGGGCGGCTCAGCAGCTGGTCAAGACACTCTCTGGCCAGGCCCGGCTAGGGGCAGTCCCTTTAGTCATCGCTGCAGACTTCCACAGCGACCTGCCCCCATGTCCTGTGACGAGAATAGATGCTCACCAGGACGTGTTGACAGGTTGCATCTGGAATCCAACTAAAGCACTACTAGCAACAAGGTAATCTGTAGAAACCTCAAGATTCAAATTTTTGTGGGACATCTGTAAAAGATGCCATTTAACTTTGTACCCTGTCATAATTGACTCAATATTTGTGCTGTTTTCATTAGTACTGATGTCCAAAGCCATGGTGCATTTACTCATGTATTCTGTGTTAACTGTGGTCATTTGATGGCCTTTTCCTCTTTTTACAAATTCATGTAAACTTTGAAGGGATGGAGGTCTTTTATGTGAATGTGTTCAATAAACTGGACCTTCTTCAGTGTGGAACTTTAAAGTAAAAATGTTGCATGGTGCTGTCGTAAGATTGAAACTGTTGTGTAAAGAAGCAAAGTAGCAAATTGTTCTTGGAAGGTGGCATTTATATTATCTATCCTTAGATTTTATACTTACTTTGGAAAAGATTTGAAATCAGGGACTGGTTATACACTTTTTGATAAATATTTTGGCAGTGACATTGTTGACATGATGCAGTGACATTTAGAGGTCTTAGAATTACATTTCATGTAAGCCATTGAACTATCAGTACTCTTCCTTTCCATCTGTTGTTGTAGTGGCTGTGATGGGGTGGTGAGACTGTGGGGTTCCCTGTCTCGTCCCCAGCCTCTCCTGCAGCAATCCTGCACCTTCACCGACAGCGACGAGTACGGTGCCTACATCAGCCCCAGTCGCTGCGGCCTGCCACTGACCAACCTCTGCTACAATGCCAATGGGAGGGTCATCGCTGCCTCGCTGGAACACATGGTCAATGTGTGGTTTGTCACAGGTGGGTGCGCGGGCTGCTGAGATTGGCTCATGTTAGAGATTAGCGACGGTGATGGAACCATGGAGAGGGGGCTACTGGAAGGGAGTTATATGTCCTCCCCTTTTTAGTAGAAGCCTCGGACCTTGGGGATGCCCCGCTTCCTTTTGTTTCTTGAACAAAATGATGGAAGCCTCGCCCGCATTTTCTGTCAGTGTCCCCCCCTTGACAAAAAATGTGCGTACTGCCAAGTGCCCCACCCCCCCCCAAGTTTCACCCGGTAACACTACAGATGAGTTTCCATGAGTTGAAAAGCAAAACTAGTTGCTATGAGCTCTGAAAATTTGGTTCTGCAAAACAGTCGTAATTACTAGAATGCCAAATATGGCGTAGTCAGTACTTTTTGCATTTTCTTGGAGAAACTGGTTGATCAGAATTCTCATGCCTTTAAATGTACTGCTAGAGATTTGATTACCAAATGAAGTTCTCTGCTTTCGTAGGCGGCAGGGGCCATCTTGATCAACAACCCCAGCTGGTGACTGCCCTTGCTTGGCCCAAATTCAAGGGCTTACTGGAGGGACGGGCCGGCACAACCACGGAGATGCTGGTGGTGGGGCGCATCGATGGCACCCTGGGATTGATCGAGGTCCTGGACCATTCCACCTACCACCGGGTGGAGCTGGAGCAGTGCTACCGACAAAACGGTGAGAAATTGTCAGATGTTCCCGCATTTGACTTGACAGGAAGGGGCAAACAGCTTACCTAGAGATTTGAGTTGACTTTGTGTCAAGAATGTCTTGGCAGTTTCTCAACATATCATTAAAAATATTCACTGGAATTTGTAATGTGTATGTAAATTATAATGTTTTATTTGTTGCTTACATTTTGGGTTTACAAGAGAGCCACAAAATAATCTGAAATGAGTCTCACCTTCCTTTCCTTTCATAATTTCCAAGACTTTCTTTACCTAGGAAGTAGGAGTCCTCGTAAATTACCCTGATCACAAGTATTTGTTTCTTTCAAATACTGCGCTCATTCATGTGTAGTGTTGTAGCAGAGTAGAATGCACGTCCCTGCAAGTCCATCACGCCATCCACTTTTTAAGTCAAGTCACAAGCTATTCAAACGAAATGCAACCAAAGCATTCCTTTATCATTGTTCGCCCAGTTACTTGTGACTGATCTTGTGAAGGGACTTGTGACTGGGATTGTGAAAGGTTTTAAAAAAGGAATTAAATACTACAGCAATGCTTGTGTATGCCGTCTTTTTCTGTTTACCTGATATTTGAGGCAAACATGTCAGAAACAACTTATATCTCTGCTTTAGGGTTTTGGCAGTACAGTGAGCAATATGCCAGCAGTTTTAAACAGTACAGCCAGTGAGGATTTGCGGCGTAAGTTTCAATTTTTGTCTTCCATCTCTAGTGGCTGTGACCTGCCTGACATGGTACGATGAGGACCGGCGATTTGCTGTTGGCTACTCAGATGGAATCCTTGCAATGTGCAGCCGCGACACCTTTGACCCGGAACCCATTATAGTGCTCCATGCTCACAATGTGAGACCCCCATTCAAACCTCGTTTGCCCCACCCCACCCCCAAATTTCACTTGAAAGTATTCAGCGGTTAATTAGATCTCAGAGTTGAGCATTTGTTTTCATTTCAAAATTTGTTCTTTGAGTGTTCTGCCAAGATCACTGAATAGCTCTTGGGATCATGTTCAACATAAACTTAGTCAGTTGTTGTGTATGCTTGTTTTTGAGGATGTCTGTCAAAGGTTTAGTACCACTTTGCTAAGGTTGCAAGTCTCATGAATAAAGATATTTAGCCAAATACACGTACATGTATTTTTGCAACTTCATGACATACTTCTGGCATGGATTTTGATGTAAATGACAGTAGCAAACTTGGAGCGGTGTATATTTTTGGTGAATATTTACTGATGCATTCAAGAACGAATGAGCTTTTTTTGGTTTATTTCAGACGGCCATTGACCAGCTAGGCTGGGACCCTACTGGTCATCTCCTGGCCACCTGCTCCCAGGACCACGAGGTCAAGGTTTGGGCCCAGAAGTCCAACCGCTGGCTCTGCCTGCACGTCCTCCGGCATGGCTGCCCACTGTCGGCCCTCCACTGGTGCCCTCACCTGAACCAGCCCAGCAGTCCCGTTCTGCTGCTAGCCACGTGAGTCATCGTCAGAGGGTTGGGCTTGCCCAATCGAGCCTGTGTTAAAAATGCCCAAACTGGCCAAACCTTGTCCAAGTTTGAAAGCTACAGGTGGCAATAACACACATTTCTATGGAGGGCAGATCCAGAACCGACTGTCTAGATGGGAGGAGAGCAAAACATTTTTGGAGGGGTGGACAAAAATCTTCAGAATTTCTTTTTATAACCTGTGGCCTTTTTGAGAGGTGAAGCTGAGTTATAAGGCTTTAGAGTTTTAGAGTTTTAAGAAAAATAAAAGACTCGTCAAAATCACCCTTTTATCTTTATATTGCTTGAAATTAATACTATTCAGCCCTTGTTTTGGGAGGGGTGATTGGCTCCTGTTGGCCCATCCCTGGATTGGCCATTGGTGTCCATGAGCAGTGGTTGCAGCCGCTAACCAGCGTCTCCATTGGCCTACGTGTAATTTTCAGCCACAGTCCATTTTAACTGTTCCTGTTCCTGTGCGGGATTGTGGGTAAAATGGGCAAGTCTCAGTGACACCAACACAGTCGTAATATATCACCACTTGCTATTCCATTGATACTTACAATTCCGTTCCTGGAGGTCACTGCATAAAGGTTGCCCAATGAGAACGTTTTCACGTAGCACGGTGCAAAAGTGTAAAGTGTGCCCCCCGTTTCTTTCTCTCCATTCAGTGGCTGTAATGACGGCAGCGTTAGGGTTTGGAAAGTCCCGCACACTGGAGCGGACGTCACCGTGCCGAGACTGGGCCAACGAGATGAGAGTCTTCAAGGAGTACCCCAGACTGAGGTATTACTTGGCTTGGCCATGTGTGTGCCTAGGCAATATGTTTTTTTCTCATGTTTAAAGCCTGCTTTTCTCAGAAGGCCTAGAGTCAGAAGAAATCTGTTACTTTTCTTTTCCAGTTATTCATGCAATGAAGTCAGCAGTCCTTAAATCTTGTGGATCCGTGGAACTCGGTTATATCAAAGTCTCGTTTTGGAAATTTTCTGTAAAATTTTTTCCACTCTTTTCAGTTACTGCTCCCTTTTGTTTTTGTGTGTCAAGGGTCAAGGCAGTGACACAAACCAATCAGATAGTGCTGTGGAGGTGTTCCATGTCAAAGGTCACAGTGAGGCTGTCACTCAGCTTGCCTTCAATCCCAGCTCCATGCTCCTGGCCTCAGGATGTGCCCGAGGTTACATCAACGTCTGGGCACTCCGTGTAAGCAGTGCTGCTAATTTTGATTAAGAAACGATCTAAAGGGGGCATTTGATTAAGAACTTTTTGGGATTCTTGCACCTTGGCACACTGATGGATGTCAGAATTTGGGAATAAATTCATACAATGTCTCACCACAAAGTGAAGATTGTAGACAGAGTCACCTGAGCTGTGATTGGATGCCTTAATGGAAGGATATATCCCAGTGCTAATATCATTCACTTATTGTATTTGGAAAATGACATAAATGTGTATTCATGGCATTCATCAATTATTGTTTTGGGTGTACTTCAAAGAGACTTTTCACTTGAGGTAACTTTAACAGAATAGACACTTGTTTGCTCCTAGTAAGGTACGCATTAGACTGACTAGACTTGACCAGTGGTTTACCACGTACAGTAACCAGTTTTGATAACCTTTGATATGTTGAATTTCAGTGTAAATATACCATTGAAATTTATCCTACAAGTGTAGTCTAAGTAATTGATTTTCATTTATGAACGAAGTAGATGTTGCTTAATTCTGCTTTGGTTCCCCTAGTTTTAAATTTCATACAGTAACTTTTTACCCTCCCCCTGCCTTCAGGAAAGTGCCGTACTGCAGACAGTTCAGGGCGACGGTCCCATCCAACAGCTTTGCTGGGTCAGTGATGCAGCCGGGCTGGCCGCCTGTTTCCAGAACTCCAAGCAACTAGTCATCCTGGGCTACACCGACACGCTGTTCATCAGGAACCGGGTCTATGCCGCGGCACGGATGGCCTTGCTCAACCAGGGAATCGTAGGATTGCATCAGGCACCCTGCCTGAGAGCCTTCCTGGAGCGACTGCCCAAGATACTGCAAGACCAGTACTCATATGAAAAGGTGATTTGGGATAAAGGATTCGAGGGAAGTGGGGTTGGCTTGCCTTCCACCTCTGTGACCTGGGTTGAAATTCCACCCTGGCTGACATTGGGACTGGGTTTTCAGTCCCTAAATTCCAAGGGCTTCTCTGGAATGTTCGTGGTTGTTTCATCCATCTCTAAAGCTGATAATTTTCTCCTTGTCTTCCCCATGACCCCCTCAGTTTTTAATTGGCATTGGGCATTTTCTTATCATAGGTCCACGTCTTGTGTGGTGACCAGCTGGTCCACAGTAGCTTCCTGCAGTGTCTGGCCTCTCTGGCCGTGGCCTTGCAGCTGGACAAAGCCCTCTTCTACTCGCCCACCTCCCTGCAGACCCAGGCCGAGGCCTCCGACACCACCCACCTCCCCTACCCCCACCACCGCAACCACCACGGGGCCGGCCAGCTGGCCGTGGCTACCCAGTGGAGCTGGCTGTCCGCCTTCTGCACGGCCCTCAAGTCGGCCGGCGCCCTCCTGAGGCGGGAGCAACTGCCAGCCGAGTTCAGCGTGCCGGATGCGGAGACCCTGGAGGGAGCCGCCACTGAGGGTCCATTGCTGGACCCCAAGCCCTCAGACAATGGCCAGTGGAGCCTGGCCATGGACGAGCAGATCATGGCCTGGGCCACCAACCGGCCTGAGGACTGGCAGCTGGGGGGAAAGTGTGACGTCTACATGTTCGGCAGTGGCAGGCACGGCCAACTGGCTGAGACAGGACGGGGCACCAACTTACCCACTATCACCCAGTCATTCTCGCAAGCACAGCAGGTTGGTTCATTCAGAGCTCAGGTGTCATTTCCTCTGGATGTATTCCATCAATATCCAATAAAACAGTATCCACTGATTTCCAGGCATTTGAAGTATACTTCACATTGTACAAACTTGGGAGAGTCAATTTATTTAGTTATTTTGCCAAATAACTGTCAGGTAGAGATTTACCTTTCCAATATCATAACCATTCATGAGTCTAAGGAGACACACGTGGCTGGTGCATATAGCACTCTCCTCTTGCAATTTTGTCCCAGATTCTATTCCTGGCCTGGACAACATGTGAATAGAGGTGACGCGACGGTTTTTCTCAGATCTCCAGTTTTGCTCCTGCGACAATCAAACTTTCAATCCCTGCAGTCAAGTGTGCGTTAATTTGGGACTGCCTGAGGTGGTTTAACTATGTTAGCTACTTCCTTTGTAATTCAGCCTTGTGGCTTTGTTCTTGATAGAATTAATTTTAAGTCACAGGAGCCCTTGATGAGGTTTGGATGCAATTGCAGAAATCACTAGACCGCTTGATAGCTCCAAAGTTTGAAGTGAATCACATCCAGCTGTTTGCTTTTTACTTGGATTTCAGGTTGTATGCGGCCAGAATTGCACCTTTGTCATCCATCGCAATGGGACAGTGTCCGCCTGCGGCGAGGGTAGCTATGGCCGGCTAGGCCAAGGGAACTCAGACGACCTGCACTCCCCGACGGTCATCTCGGCACTTCAAGGTAAATTGCATACAAGTCAGCCAATCATACCCAACAATTCTGCATAATAGTGCTGGGGAGATCTCAAAACGCAGGCTGTTTCTGCTCTTTTGGGACAATTTTCGTTTTTTTCTTCAGAAGGCTCCGTCAGCATTGGTGCTCAGTTCAGATAAGGCCATCCCAAGTTAAGAGACATCCAGTCCTGGGTCAGGTCAAATGAACTGTGACAAAGTATTCCTTTCAGTCCTTTGCTATTATTCCCCTCCCCACCCGCTGTTTGTTTTGCCGGCCTTTTACCCAACTCATGATAGACTTTAAGATTGACGTGGAGTCCAACTCTGCAAGGCTGCATTCACTAGGGAAACAGTTTGCTCTTTATGTTCCCACTAATAGAGATTGCTCTCAATTCAGCATCAGGGGACAAGGGACTGAGGCAGTGCAGTCAGGTTTTTTTCTTGTGGTAGATATGTAGTATTTGGATTGGGACACCATGTGGCTGGGGCATGATTCCTGCCCATATGGGATACAGGTTCTGTGGCATCCTACTCCCTATCCACAAAACCAATATGTCCACAAATGGCAGGAATCACCAACACAGGGCTGGACAGCTTAGTTGGTGGAGCATCGGCACTGTGTACTGAAAGTGGCAGGTTTGACCTTTTCGTGCCGGGAGGCGGCTAGACGCACCATAAAAATTGAGATCCTCAGCCCGCTTTTAAGCTATTATTCTTTGCCTACACTCGAGCGAACACGGTGAAAGAAGGCAGACCCTGGCTCTTGTGTATATGGTGATTGGCCAAGCGAGGCTGGAATTCTTTGAGTCGGCTTTCGGGAAAAAATTCCCGTCGTCAAGGGGTTAAATCCTGTTCCTCTCAATGTTCCCAAGTTATCTTTATTATTATGGAAGTAAATATATGCTTGGCTTGGATTGGGTCCGGAGAATGGACATTGATAATGCCCGAACCAAATTTTAAGACCGGCGAAATATATATACGTTTCCATTCATAAATACATACATCTTCTGAGTCACTAAGTCAAAACACGTGTAAATAGGTATAAATTTCCAACGTTTTTGTTCGACATTTCCACCTCCTTTTTTTTTTTCAAGCACCCGTCTAGCCATGCTTTACTATGTTCCTCTTGCAGGTAGTCATAAACAATCTCCTTGTGTGAAGATCGCCACACACATGGCATGAGGTGGCGTATAGTTAGCTGGTGCTTTATTGAATGAGACCAGCCATGTGATGGGCTCTCGGCTAGTAGGAATGGCTGAACTGCCCAAAGTATTCTTGAATATTTTGTACTTAGTTCTGCTATTCGGTGTATGTCACATGTAGAATACGGCCGTTTCACAATGGTGCACCACCAAGAGTTTGCAACGCGTTGGCCAATCACAATGCGCGGAATTTTTTGCGTCCCAATGTGCGTCTGGAAAAGGTCGACAAATTTCACGCGTTATGATTGGCCAACATGTTGCAAATTCTTGGTGGCGCACTATTGTGAATCGCCCGTAGTCTTCAGCACTGATGTGGTAAAAAGACCCAATCTGTTCCCCGACTTTATCATTCCCCAAGGTTTTGTAGTGATTCAGCTGGTCACGTCCTGTGGGTCCGATGGCCACTCCATGGCGCTGACAGAGAGCGGTGAAGTCTTCAGCTGGGGGGATGGAGACTACGGTAAACTGGGCCATGGCAACAGCGACAGACAGCGTCGGCCACGGCAGATCGAGGCCCTGCAAGGAGAAGAAGTCACCCAGGTAAATCGTTTGACACATTGGCCAAAGTTGTGCACACTTTACTGGGCAGCGTGACATCACAGTGACCAGCCTGACTCGATGTGGGCGGTTACTCAGTTGCATTTCATATTGAGTATGGGATGTGACGGGGGAGAAATTGTGAAATCAGGAAAAGAAAAGAAAAATTTCAGTAATTACAAGTATATTCACAGTATTAATTTGTTCTAAATTTTCAGTTTCTACTGCAGTAGCACGTACTTGCACAAACAAAATCAGTGACCAACACATTTCTGTATTAACTCCTTGACGACAGGAACTTTTTTCTGAAAGCCAACTCTGAGAATTCCAGCCTCGCTTGGCCACGAAGACCACCTGCCAAACCGCAAATTCTTGGTTTGTGGCCCTGCGTGCTCTGCACGCTCTGAATTACACAGTGAAAAGGCTCATTGTTCGGTGGCATGCAGCTTTACTCATGCTTCCACATTCCTGTTGCCTCTTTCCAAAGTGGGGAC